TTTCAGCATCCTGTATTACATTGATCAAAAGAGACAGTTAAGATATTTATAATGTTACAAAAGTGCCTTTTAAATGTTTTTACAAAACATTTATAATGTTACAGAAAACTTTTTAACATTGATAATGATATTTTTTTCTAATCAGTATATTAGAATGATTTCTGAAGGATCATGTGACACTGAAGACTGGAGTAATGAGACTGAAAATGTAGCTATACATCACAGAAATAAATTACATTTTAAAATATATTAAAATACAAAACAGTTATATTAAATTGCAGTATGATTTTATACCATTATAATTTTTTTTTTTTTTTAAATAAAATAAATGCAGCCCTGGTGATCATAAAAGAGAAAATCGAACCAAATTTATGTCGATGATAATCACTATTAATTTTGGACAGAAAGAAATCCAGGTTACAATAACAAAGGGGGAAAAAAACACATTTCCCAGTAAATACTTCTGGATTTTCTACACTGCTGTGCAATTATTTGAATATTTCCATTACCATCTATTATTAGTACACTTCAACCTTAGTACACACCCCTAAACAACATATAAAACAAAAACAAGCTATAATTGGTGTGCTAGATAGGCAGTCATTTCTCATTTTCTTCTCAAGTGGGCGGTTCTTGGCCAGAACAAGTGGACCAGACCTTATGCAAACCCATCTATATGAGACGATGGCAGTCAACTGACCACTCAGACACTGGCTGGGGGAAAATATGCAAGGAATGGGTAGAAAAACACATATTTTGAACACCATGCATGAAGCCGGCCTCTCTGTGCGCTGCGTTTCTCAGGAGACTATAATAACAGGCTTCAGCAGAAGACGACATACCAATCTGCTGAGAAGATGCCAAGGACATTATAGATCTCACTCTGACATTCATAACATTATCCCTCCACTGGCAGTCATACTTCTTTTTATCGGGATTTAAATGCTTTTACAGTAGTTAAGCACAACGTTCGTCATATAAATAAAAGGGTTACCTCCAAAAAGAGACAAAGACATCAACTCCAGAATTGCAGGGTGAAAGACAAGATGATTGTCTGAGCGATGGATTGAAAGGCTGGAGATAAAGTGAGAGAAGGACAGATTACAGGGAAAGCAAATACGGGGGGAAAGAGATCTCGCCCTTGCACGCTCGTCTTCAGCGGCGGCTCGGATCGATAGTAATCCAGAGAGCAGGAGTTGTTTATTTTGGAAAGTCTGAGGGGCCTGAAAGGGTGGCTGCTTTCTCACACAGCCATTAATCAGATGGAGGGGAGGAACCAGCGTGTCAATGCCCACATGCCTGTCCGCATACCACACAGCAGACACACATCACTGACTTACTGTAGTCGTAGCTCACACGCCTGTTGGCCAGCCCGGCTCCTCCTCTCCGCCGCGTGCTGCTGAAGGCCTGTGCGCTCGGCTTAAACCATCTGAAAACACACAGGACACAGAAGTAATCAGGTTATCTAGCAGAGAGTGACCGGTCCTTAGGGGAAACCGACAGCTGGGTAGTCAGATTTTTTTCTAAAGCATATCTGTAGGATTATAAGTGCTGTATATAAACAGAAAGCCATGGTACAGTTTATCATATATTAATCATTTAATTAATTCATTAGTAATCATTCATGCCAATCAAGATGTAGATGATTTTGTTTCTTCATCAGAACAAATCTGAAGAAATTTACAGTAGCATTACATCACTTGCTCACAAACGGATCCTCTGCAGTGAATGGGTGCCGTCAGAATAGAGTCCAAATAGCTGATAAAAACTATTGCTGTCAAGTGATTAATCATTATTAATCACATCCAAAATAAAACTTTTTGTTTACATAATATATGTGTGTGTACTGTGTATATTTATTATGTATATATAAATACACAGATACAGTATATTTTGAAAATGTATTTACAGTGGGTACGGAAAGTATTCAGACCCCCTTAAATTTTTCACTCTTTGTTATATTGCAGCCATTTGCTATTTAATATATAAACATATTTTTCTTAAATATATACATGCATGTGTATGTATTTATATTTACATAATACACAGTACACATATATTATGTAAACAAAAACTTGTATTTTGGATGCGATTTATCGCGATTATTCGTTTGACAGCACTAATAAAAACATCCATAATTTAACGTCTTTTGAAGTGAAAAGCTGCATGTTTATAAGAAACAAATCTGCCATTAAAGCATTTGTAACTTCAAACAGTTGCTTCAGTCCTCTATCCATAAAATTGCTTTCTCCAGTGAATATGTTTTGTCTGATTCAGGAGAGAAATAAGCACAGTTCAAGCACTGTTTACAAACAGTTCTAAACAAATATTTTGGTGGATTTTGATGTGAGAAAACAACAGGGGATGGACTTTTTTAGTGGAGGAAGCTTTATTATGGAAGCATACATGCATACATACTGCATATACAACTATATCATCGCCCTGCTCTTATATAAAGTTGGATATACTAGTGTGGATTGATATATATGTAATATCTCAACTTCTTGATTGCTTGTATCATCACAAAAAATCGACTCTATTATTGCCCAACTCTAATCAGCTATATAAAGACATGAAGATAATCTAAGTATACACATTTTCTGTAAAGCTGCTTTGAAACAATGTATTTTGTGAAAAGCACTATTCAAATAAATTTGACTTGACTTTATGGAGTTCATGTGGGGAGAGTAAGGTGTAACAAAAAACTTTACATGGCCAGGACGACATATAAATTTGTCCTTTAAAATCACTCACTCAGATTATTACAAATTGCATTATCAGTTGCTCCTTAACACAAACATTTAGTGAAATACTGTCAAATAGCCACACAGAGCGATGCAGTGAACTGTGGGCTTGATTTAAAGACCCATGAAATAGTTTCATGAACTGGACATATCAAGGTCTTAAAAAAGCCAAGAGCCTTAAAGGGATAGTTCACACGGAAATGACAATTCTGTAGTCATTTAC